TTTCGTTTTATTGGCTAATCAAAAGGGTCAGTTACTTCTGGGACACCCTGTAGATGCATTGAATTACAGCAGGGACTAGCTCAAGGTACGGCAGACGTTATTCGGGTTGTGCTTCCGAAAAACATGCCGAACACAGGAGCATTGTTGGCGCGCATAGGTGCAGGGTCACGCCGCACCAGCCACTAGTGGCCTTTATAGCACTCCCACTCCGTCGGATCTTGGTCAGGCGCGACGGATGCGGCCACGCTTGCTACCTGTGCCAGATCCAGTCTTCTTAACTCTGTCTTGACACTGGACACATGCGGGTGAACGAAAAAAGCAAGAGTGTGTTAGGTGCAACGCAAGTCTACTATCACCCAAATTAATCTACGCGTAAGTCACGGTCTCTCTGCGTGGAGCACAGGGTGAACGTCATCGGAACCGACAGTCGAACTATTGATAGGGGTCCCTTAGGGTTGATTGAGTCGGAGTGTATGACGGCTTGCCTCTTTAATCCTCCCTATCCATCTTCTTCCTCCTATCAGCCGTGATCGCCTGTTCGGAAGAGCATGTTATACTTCCACCCTACATGCTTGGCGATCAGGTGCACTACACAGATATGGAAGGGCTCCTTACTATGGCGAGAACATCCGAAGGTCTCAGTCTTCTTGAGGAAAATGCATGTGCCTGGATGAAGAAGATAGCGCAAGTAGGTTCTTCTTTTGGTACTAGTCGGATGATAGCAGTTCGACTTTGTTATTTGAGTCAAAGAACTACGCATTTGGTAGAAAATGACGCCTTCAAATTTTATACTTGAATCAAGGGTGCAAGGGTATCTTTCAGTTTCAGAGAGGTTTCTAATTATCCGATTTTTTCGACTGTGAAATGTGCATTCATAAAGCCACTCATCTATTGCTTGTAAATTTTACAACATGGGCGACGTCTATTGCAAAATTTTATGAGAACTATATGGCTTCTTCCTCCCACTATAGGGAAATATTTACTTCTCCTTTGAGACAAGGCATATAGCATGTAGTTTAGAGACCCTGAGTTAGGGTTCAAAATTATTCCACAATTTACAAACTTGCCTAAAACCGAAGCGTTCGCCTTCTTAAAGTATCATATTTGAAGGAGGCGTAAGTTGGTACCAAACGAGTACCAGAATGAATATTTTCATGCATGGTTTCTATAAAGTATATTTGAAGTTTGAATGACAGTGAAAATGAATGAGAAAAGTGCATACTATTGAGCCATTCCTTTACAAAATCTTCTTTTTGCAGACGGGCAGAAGTACGGCCTGTTTATAAAGCCGGCAACCTGACGTGACTAAAGCATTTTGAGATAAGGCTGCATGATTAGCAATAGTACAACCCTACTTAGGTAATTTGTTCGAATCGAAAAAAACTTTAGAGAATTTCAGTTGACTTGTCGAAGGTAGTAGTGTCGACAAGAGAAGGTCCCAAAAATCAAGGGTCAGGTACGACAGAGTTGATACGAAGCGCTTTACAATAGGCGCTGCCAAGTGATCG